TGAGGACGCTGCTGGGTCCTGCGCTCGGACCGCAGGTGGGGCGCAGCCGGACAGGTCCGGCCTCCCCGGCTTTGCGGGCTCCGTGGGGAGAGCGCGTGTCCTGGTAGGAGGTGGCCTGACCTCTTCCGTCTAGAATTCAGGCAGAGCCTGGAGCCGCCGCGGGCCCGATGGAGCCGCCGCAGTGAAGCAAGGCGCACGAACTTTTTGGTTTCCCAGCCCCTATAAGAGCCGTGTTTACACTCCACTGTAGTCTGTGAAGTGTGCAATAGCGTCATGTCTAAGAAGCGTACATGTCAATGGAAACACTTTATTGCTAAAAAGTGCTGACCGTCCTCTGAGCCTCCCACTGGGCTTAGTGTTTCTGCCTCCAAGGTGAGGGCGGAGGTGGCGCCGGCCGGGACAGTTGTTAACGCAGTGAAGTCTGCCGCACGGATTGACTCTTCGCTTCTAATGATTTCTCTGTCGCATGGGATGCGGGTGTTTTGTTTTATTGGTTTGGGGTTTGTTTTTTTTTTTTTAGCATTTCACCCACCATAGAACTTTGCAAATTGAAGGCCGTGCTCCCACACCCTGCCACTGCTTTGCCAACTCAGTCTATGGAACATTCCGAATCCTCTGTTGTCATTTCTACAGTCCTCACAGCGTCCTCACCAGAAGGAGATTTCTTCAAATCTGAGATGCTGGTTCATCTCGAGAAACCACTTTCCCTGCTGGTCCCTAAGAAGCACTCCTCCTCCGTTAAAGACCTGCCGTGAGATTGCCGCACCCCAGTCCCATGATCAGGCTCCACTGCAATTCCCGTTCTCTTGCGGTTTCCACCACACGTGCAGTCACTTCCTCCACCGAGGTCTTGAGCCCCTCAGCCCTGCATGGGGGTTACATTAACTTCTTCCAAACGCCCGTTGGTGTTGGCATTTTGACCTCTTCCCGTGATTGTTCTCAATGGCATCTAGATGGTGAACCTTTCCAGAAGGTTTTTCATTTACTTTGCCCGGATCCATCAGAGCAATCACTCTCTATGGCAGCTATAGCCTTGCGAAAGGTATTTCTTAAATAATAAGACTTGAAAGTCAAGGTTGCTCCTTGATCCATGGGCTGCGGAATGTAGGTAGTGTTGGCAGGCATGAAAACAACATTCATCTTACTGTCCATCTCCACCTGAGCTCTTGGGTGACCAGGTGCATTGTTAGTGAGCAGGAATGTTTTAAAAGGAATCTCTTTCTGAGCCATAGGTCTCAACCCTATAATATATTGTTTGTTAATTCTGCTTGGATTCATTAAGCTTCTTGAGTCTGCAGATGATCTTTTATGGGCTCTAGAAATTTCTCAGCCATTATCTCTTCCGATATTGCCTCTGCTATCTCCTCTCTGATTCTCCAGTTACATGCATGTTAGACCTTCTCACTCCATCTCCCATGTCTCTTAATCTGTTCAACATTTTCTGTCCCCCTGTCACTTCTGGATAGTTTCTTCTGATTTAATCGTTGAGTTTATTCATTTTCTCATCAACTTTTAAACCTATTCATTGAGTTTTCAATTTTGGTTATTGTATGGGTCCTTTCTTTTTTTAATGTATCCTCACTCAAGAATATGTTTATTGATTTTAGGGAGAGAGAAAGAGAGAGAAACATGGGTCTGTTGCTTCCCTTAGGTATGTGCCCTGACCAGGAATCAAACTCACAACCTTTTGGTGCCTGGGACAACCCTCATCCAGCTGAGCCACCCAGCCCACTTGGCCTTGAAAACGTCCGCCCAGTACCCCTGGTGCAGCAAACACCCTCAGGGCAGAAGCAACTCCCTTAAGCCACTTGCCTCTCTAACATTCCTTAATGTTACCAACAGTGGGCCTGATTTTTAGTTGTTTTCTGCAGGAAAATGGGTCCAAATAGCCGAATCTGTTTTATTACTGGAAAGGGATTGGTCCACTTATTTTTTAGCAAGCTGAAAAATAAGCAGGAACTTCAAGTTTCTGATAAAATAAATGTCTTTTAGGCATAGACTGCATTAAGATATCTGCAGCAGATTCCTGTATTTTTCCAGTGTCTAATGCTTGCAAATGTATTAGTTCTTAATAGTGAAATGAATTTTAATTAAACTTTAAATGATCCATCTTTTCTGACTCATCTAGGACTGACTGCTGCAGTGCTCAGAGTCGGAGGAAATGGCAGATCTGGACAGTGATTCCAGGCAGCTTCTCGCCCCCGAGGCGGACCGTGAAGTACATCCTGGGCCCATGAATATCCAGTTTGACTCATCAGATCTAAGACCCAACAGGTGAGTGTTTAAAGTAAAACACTTATTTCATAATTGGGTTTTTTTAGTTCTTAAAATAGAACTAATTATAACCAAACATATAGAGCTTTAGTTATCAAATACCCAGTTTCTTACAGGATCTGTAAGATCCTGAATACTATTTCCTCATTTATATTTGACTTTTTCAACTAAACTCAACATCTCTGTGGGGAGGGGTTAGTTTGATGAAGATGCATTGATGTAGTTTAGTAATATGCTAGGTGCTGAGCATAGAACACTGAAAGTAACACAATCCTGACCTTCATGGGGCTTAAATTACAGCGCATTAGTTTAAGATTTCAGTTTAAACTTATTTTATTGCATACTTGGGAAACCCAAAAGAATGCCCTGAAAATTTGTTATAAATAGTAAAAGAATTCAGTAAGGTGGCTATTAATTAAATAGGCAAAAATAAATAGCGTTCTGATGAAAAAAATGTAATGGAAGAAGATAAAATACATAGGAATAGCCCTAAGAACGTGCAAAATCAATATGAGAGAAACTTTGAAATACTACTGAGGGACTTAAAGTAAGATGATTTCTTCAAATCTGAGATGCTGGTTCTAGTTGCACTGTGTACATACATACAGTGCAGCTTAGAATCTGTGATAAACTGTGGCCAGTACTTTCGATGCAATATTCTCTTAGGGCTTAGTTGTGTGTTGTGTTGTTTTTTATTTACTGAAGGAACTCTTGGACTTATTTGGCACTTTATCCTGTTCATATCTTTTGTGCAGCTATAAAAATGAAAATCTAAACCGTATCTCAGTTAAGATATTACTATTCTGATTCTCCTCATTTAGAACGATTCTTCCAAATCACTTTTTGGAGTCATCAAAATCAGTGTTCCCCCCCAATACAAAATTGTTCTTTGTACCATTAAGAGCGTTGATAACATAGCATTTCTTGAAAGAATTTTCTTACAAATCATGACACCTTTAGTTTTGATGCTTGCACTTTCCTGATCTTTCCAGGAGGTGTCACCAAAGGTTTTCTAACAACAGCATGGCTCCTATTTCTTCCTTAAATGGCCCTCAAGTGTTTTGGTGACTGGAGTGACCAGGGATGACACTTGCCTGTCCTGCCACCAGGAGTAATTACCGGCTCACAGAGGCTGAAAGGTGTCCTGGATCGTGCGGTGCATCCAGAGTTTGGAAATGTTTACGTGTGTGCGCGAGTCAGGAAACGGTGACGTGTGACAAAAGGCCTTTTCTGCTGTCAGTGGACTAACATGGGGCGTCCTGCTCTTTAAATTTTAACCCATAAATGTAACGTGATCCCCCCCAAATTGCCAGCAGCCAATTCAAAAGTTTATAGAGCTCAGCCCGGCCACATGCGGGGCAGGCCGATAGTCCGGGAGCAACAGGCTGCCCCAGACAGCCGAGGTGTGCAGGTGGTTCCTGGCTGGTGCCACAGGCAGTTTCCTTCCCAGCACTCCTCAGTGTCAGTCGTGCGTGTGCAAGGCTGTTCGGCGCGGTATTTTATAATCGCCAAAGACTGAAAACGACCAGGAGGTCCTTTTTATAGGGCGGATATGTGGCATGTTGATACAATGGAATCTTGTTGCCCATTAGAAAGAAGGAAGTGGCTTTCTTACGTATCAAAATAGAACGAGTCCTCCACTTCTCCTGTTAGGTACGAAAGGGAAGTGCAGGGCAGTGTGCACAGTATACCGCCGTTCGGGTAAGAAATAACTCGATGAAGTAAACACAGCACAATGTGCATGAGTGACTCTACAGGGACAGTCGGAGCGGAAGAGTGGCGGCTCCTCAGGGAGGCCGAGAGCCGAGGTGGGGTCGGCAGACGCCGTCGGATGAACACCCAGCAGGAGCTCAGCAAGCTCCCCTGGTCTTTGCCCGCAGAGCCCTGACTTTGTTAAGGGTCGCAGTGGTTACAGTCCCGGAGGTGAGGGGCGGGTTTGAGCCAGTCTCCATATCACCTTCCCGCGTTCCAGAGACAGTCAGGCGTCGCTTAACGCCCGGGACGGCTTCTGAGAAGTGCGTCGGGCACACATCACAGAGGCCCTTACACACGCCTGGACAGTCTAGCCCTCGGCGTGCCCAGGCTGTCTGGTGCAGCCTGTTGCTCCCGGACCATTAGCCCGGCCGGCATGTTCCTGGGCTGAGCTCTGCAGGCAGTGGTAGCGTGTGGTGCTGTGATGTCATGATGGCTGCGATGCTACTAGGCGAGGGGGGTCTTTCAGCTCCGTGATAGCCTTTTGGGACCATCGCCATACATGCAGTCCGTCGTAGTCCAAACGCCGTGATACGGCACGTGATGGTACTTCACGTTCTTAGTCTTTCCTGCAGCTAGAGGTGGCAGTGGAAGGTTATCGCATGGGAAATTTATCGCGGCGTGTGGGGTGCCCGTGATAGGAGAGAGCGGATCTTGTCACTGTCACTTGTCTACTCCCACATCAGGGAGGACAGAACGAATGCACGCTGATGCGATGCTGGGGACTTCTCTGAAACCTCTAAGTTCCATGAGAAGTAATTGGCCACTGTGACACTAGAACCCAGGGCGCCCCCGCATTCCACCGCAGTGAGCGGGCAGGAGTTGGGAGGATTTGTTTAACCCTGGAGATGACATGGACATCTGTTTTCTGTAATGAAACTTGGCAAAATGAGAGGGCAGCGACTTACAATCATGGGATAACCAGCTCGGTAAGCACGTGTTAGGGAAGGCAGATATTTGTACAGACTTAGCAGTATTGAATGTTCATCTGCCTGTGAAATAATTTACGTTGAAAACGCTGTCTGACGAAGGAAAATGTGGGAGTACCTGAAAACATTGTTATTTCTGTGAAAATATGAGGGACTTCACTTAACATATGAAAATAGAAGTCAGACACCCTGAGGGGATGTGTCTGCCATTAGAACAGTGGTTCTCAACCTTCCTAATGCCGCGACCCTTTAATGCAGTTCCTCATGTTGTGGTGGCCCCCAACCATGAAATTATTTTCGTTGCTACTTCATAACTGTAATTTTGCTACTGTTATGAATCGTAATGTAAATATCTGATATGCAGGATGTATTTTCATTGTTACAAATTAAACACAATTAAAGCATAGTGATTAATCACAAAACAATATGTAATTATATATTCAATATGTGTTTTCTGATGGTCTTAGGCGACCCCTGTGAAAGGGTCGTTTGACCCCCAAAGGGGTGGCGACCCACAGGTTGAGAACCGCTGTATTAGAAGAACCAGCCCAGGCAGCTATTTCGAGAACTGCAGTCATTTTTGAGTGACCCTATGACTTTGGTGAGATTCCACAACTGCCTGAATCATATTATAATGTAGTGTATTTGTTAGTTATTAACTTTTATTATTTTTTTTATTTTTATTTTTTAAAATATATATTTTATTGATATTTTACAGAGAGGAAGGGAGAGGGATAGAGAGTTAGAAACATCGATGAGAGAGAAACATCAATCAGCTGCCTCCTGCACACTCCCCACTGGGGATGTGCCCACAACCAAGGTACATGCCCTTGACCGGAATCGAACCTGGGACCCTTGAGTCTGCAGGCTGACACTCTATCCGCTGAGCCAAACCGGCCAGGGCATAGTTATTAACTTTTAAAAACTAGGGTTACTTTAGCCTCATCTTCACGTACCTGTGAAATGGTGGATTTGAAGCAGCGCATTGCAATCATACCGAACAGCTACAACACGCCCGGTGCTCCCGGACTCGCCCGCCGACAGCCGCTCTTGGGAAACTGTCGGGCTGCTAAAGAGCAGCATCCCCCAGTGAACCAGGCTCTCACCGCCCTCACCAGCGATCCTGACCCGGCCGCGTCCTGTGCGCACCTGGAAGGCCTCTGAGGAGCTGTGCCCAACGGGAGGGTTTAGCGTCAGGAGGGACACAGCGAGGGGGTGGTTGCCAGGGAGCCAGTGACTGCGGCCAGGAGGGCGCCCTCCGAGGAAGGCCGGGGTCTGGCAGGCGGTGGCCTCCCTGGTGCTGGCGGTGATTGCAGACTGACGGGGCAGGGCGGCCTCCTGGGCGAGGGAAACGCACCCACGGCGGCTGGCTGCTGCGTGGACTCAGTGCAGTGCCGTCCTGTTGGGCCTGTTTGCTGTTTTTAACCGAATGTAGGAAACAGCACCTGATGCTGAGCTGGTCACTGGTGGTCATTCTCTCCCTTCCTTTTGTGGTGGAGCCGGGTCCTGTCACCTGTCCGCGCACATCACAGCAGCGCTTACACACCTGGACGGGAGCCCTCCTCCCCCCCCCCCCCCCACACACACACACACATCTAGGAGGTCGCTTGTCCCTGCGGAAGGCGCGGCAGCATTGCCTGGGACCTGGGAGCTTTTGCAAACTGCAGTCCCTCTCCCTCTGCGGGCTTCCACCCTGCCCTGGTTTGGGCTTGTGGGGTGGGGGTGGGGTACAGGAAGGTCAGGCAGTGCTGCTGGTGGCGGAGTCCCTGGGAGCAGTGGTCTCAGTGGCTGTCCTGTGTCTCCAGGCCTTTGGTAGCCACAGAGCTGGTGTTCCGACTGCCTCGTGCCCTCCCTCCGCGGCTCTGGGCGGCCCTGCTGCCAGCCACACCAGCTGGGAAGGGGTCTGCTGCTTGGTTTGTGAGCTTCCCTTTTTAGTTTTCTCCAACTCCTCCTCCTCCCATTCCCCAGCCCCCCACCCCCCGAGCCTCGGCTTTGGGGCTCCTCTCCGCACCCCATTTTCCCAGGGGCAGAATCACTGGGAGGCCTTCCTCCTGCCGTGCCCGGTGGACGCCTTTCTGCAGCTACTCCTCCCACTCTCTTACCTTCCCCAGTGTCACTCCGTCTGCTAAAGGCTTAAGGGACAGCCGGGCCCGGGTTCGAGAGGCTTTAACACAGAGATGTGACGACTGGAGTGGGATCTGAGCTCTGCTCCGTCAGAACCTGTCCTCTCTGATCCTCACATGTCTCCCCCTCTTCCCGATGTCTGCTCCCTGCCCCTCGCCCTCCACCTGCTGCCTGTGTTCTGTCTGATTCTGTTTG